TTCTATCTTCTATTAACAATCTGTTATCTTTTGTACGCTTAAAAAAGATTGTATTTCGTTTTCTAAATAAAATTTGTAACATTAATATTTTAAAGTTTTTACGGCATATCAACATCTTGGTTATTCGAAAACACCACTCTTTACTTGGTGTTTTTTTCTGTTTCACAGCATCCCCTTTTTTTCATTATTATTATTTCGGGGTGATATTGCCCCTTGCCACAATAGAATTGCTAGGCTTAGTTCAAGTTCGGGCTGAGTTAGTTGTTGCGCTCATGCCCTAGGGAAATGCATAAATCCAGGACTTCTTCTACTCAACACCATCCGTAGATCACTGGGAAGAATAGCATGACATAATTGAAGTCTTTAATTTTGGCCGGCAATCAACATAGGAGAAGTACAACTCTGAATTCTTCATGACAAAAAATCTGTGACGTGATAGACTTGTGCCTCTATCGTAAAAATTATCTGTGAAATTTTGCAATTGTTAATCATTATTTTCGAAGACGGTGAATGTCAAGACAAAATGCAGGTTAGTAAACCAATTTCCCAAATTGTTGCTTGCGTAGTGATTACCACTTTCACCGGGTCTCATATGACAGTGACTGCAATGCGATGGTTAATAAAATAATTGATTGACTATTATTTACTGTAGTTCGATTCTCATGAAATCGATTCTGTCTTTGGCTAAGGTTAAGCTTTTAGGTTCTCTGCTGTTACCCTATCTTTACACACAGAATCAGCGAATCACTCGATAATAAATTCATCACGAGATCGGTTGCTCTGATATCTTAAAGGCCTTAGACAAAGTGTGACATAGAGGGATACTACAAAAACTTTCCACTAATGACATCTCTGGAAGAGAGTGCTCGCAGTTAAGAAATATTACTCTCTTAGTTGCTAATGACTACTTGTCTTAAAAGCATGGGATGACTCTCTCCTCGTTTCTACAATCTTCCTGCGCTTCATCTAGTGCTTGACCATCCAGAGTTGGGATTTGTGTCTGGATGAGGAAGGAACAGTTCAAAATTCAAATTTTAAAATAACTGGAAATAAATTAGTGATTTTAAAAGTTTAAATTTATATTGAGTTTAAAGTAATACAAAAATTTTGTGAATTTAATTTTTTTTTAAATTCAGTTCAGAATATCTTCAAAACTTTGTGAATTGAGGAAATCAATTTTATTTCTTCAAAATACCAAGGAATCACAGTTAATGTAAGAGGTTTCGAGACGTGACGTTTTGAAGTTCCGCAGAGTTTGGGATTTAAAGAACTTAACTCAATTGAAGTTCCGCAGAGTTTGGGATTTAAAGAACTTAACTTAATTGAAGTTCCGCAGAGTTTGGGATATAAAGAACTTAACTCAATTGAAGTTCCGCAGAGTTTGGGATTTAAAGAACTTAACTTAATTGAAGTTCCACGGAATTTGTGATTTGAAGATCGTTATTTCCTGCCTGAATTGGAATTTCGGCCTACATCGGTCTTAGAGCCTGAATCAGATTTAAAGTGAGATTTTGAAGTTCTATCGAGTAATTAAAAGTTATATCTTCTAAATTATCATTTTTGTTTTATAAGATGGACCAGAGATCCTTTTTAGTTTTGAGTTGGAGACCTAATTAGTCCTGTGTCGAAGATAGCTTCGTAGAGAGTGTGGCTTTTAAGCGAGTTAAGTCTTAGTGTTAGCAATCTCCTCACAAAGGTACAAAAATTAACGATGTCCCGAAATCCAAACGTAAGACTGGATTTTTTGTCCTCTTTTTATATTCGGCTATAAAGTTTCAATAGATCGATTCCAATTATCTTTGCATTTTATTAAGAGCGAATGTTAGTGCCAAGCGTTTACATCACTCAAGAAAGATTACTTGATAGCGATAGCTAATTCTGGCACAATGACAAAAGCGTGGGACAATCATTAAGACTCGAATTCACGATAGTCGTAGTAGCAGTGGTTTGCTTGATTAACTTGTTAACCACTGCTCTGTGGCGAGGCCCCCGGCAATGCTTGTTTTAATTTGGTAAACTGGAAAATCAATATACATACATGTGGCAAGCCTTTCACTGCTCTATCGCAACTTCCATGGAAAGTGCTCGGGCGAACTGCGTTCCTGGTCCCACCAGTTCTAACCTTCACGGCCAGGACCCGCCGTGCCACCCACATTGTAGCAAACTACCCTCATCCCCTCTGTATTCCATTGGTGAGGAGGAAGTTCCACTCGAACAGCTTCTTCATGCAGACCACTGCTCTGTGGAACCGACTCCCTGATCACACTAATCTTAAGCTGTTCAATCCTAAGGGTAACCTTTATCTTCTCCTCGTATCCGCACAAATTGGCTCTTAATGTAGCCCCAGATATTGTACATGGTGAACCTTACTGTAAAAAAATAAAAAATATATATATGCACACACACACACACACACACACACACATGCACCCCATATATATATATATATATATATATATATATATATATATATATATAGGGGTTGGACAAAATAATGGAAACATATAGAATCTTAATATCAATTTTGAAACTTCTATAAAACCATCAAACGTTTGTTATTTTTATTTATTTTTTTATTTATTATTAATTTTTCTTGTCTATTTTACTAAAATTGTTGTTTTTTAACAGATATCATTAGAGGAAATGAATCAAAATTCCTTAAAATGGCAGATGTATCAGACTTTAAAAGAAGTCAAACTGTTGGTGCTCGTATGGCAGGCGCTAGTGTAACAAAAACCGCTGAATTATTTGGTGTAGCAAGCAGTACTATTTCAAAAGTAATGACAGCATTTGAGAAAGAAGTAAAAACCTCTTCAATGAAGCAAAACTCTGGAAGAATACGAAAGCTGTCTGATAGGGACCGTCGGACTCTTACGCGGAATGTTATGAAGGAACACAAGAATACACGCTCAGAAAATTACAGCAAGACTTTATGACCATCTCAAGAACCCAGCTTCCTCAAAAACTGCAAGAAAGGAACTACACAATGCCGGATTTCACAGGAGGGCTGCAATCAGAAAACCATTCCTTTCACAACGCAATATTGCAAAGCGTTTAGAGTGGAATAGAAACCTACGGAACGGGTCCCTAGAAGAATGTTATTTTCTCAGAAGAGTCATCCTTTACCTTATTTCCGACATCTGGTCGAGTATACGTGTGGAGGCAGCCTAAAGAAACATTTTTTCCGGACTGTCTTCTTTCAAGTGTTAAACATGGGGATCTCTGTGATGATCTGGGGAGTGGGGGGCTATATCTTCCAGCCCAATGGTTTCGTTTCATGGTAGGATCAAAAGTCAAGACTATTTCAAAATTTTATCAGATCAAATTCATCCTATGGTCGTGGAACTGTTTCCAGAGGATGATAATGCACCAATTCACACAGCTTAATTTGTGTCTGAGTGTCACGAAGAACATTCTAGTGAAGTAGACCATCTTATCTGGCCACCGCAGTTTTCAGATCTCAATATTATTGAAAATTTATGATGCATTTTAGAGTCGATAACCGCCTCCACCATCACTGAAAGAACTTAGGATTATTTTGACAGAAGAATGGACACATATTCCTTTGGAAAGCATTCAAATTTTGTATGAGTCCACACCTCATAGAATTCAGGCTGTTATTACTGCCAAAGGCAGTCATACACCATATTAACAAATTTGTTTGAAATTTCCAGGTGTTTTCATTAATTTGTCCAACCCTATATATATATATATATATATATATATATATATATATATATATAAATATATATATATAGAGTCCCCTCAAAAAGTATTGGAACGGCAAGGCCAATTCCATTGTTTTTGTTGTTTACTGAAGTCATTTGGGTTTAAGATCAAAAGATGGATATGAGACAAGTGTTCAGAATTTCAGCTTTAATTTCCTGGTATTTACATTTAGATGTGTTAAACAGCTTAAGACATACCACTTTTTGTATCAGATCATTCCATTTTTGGGTGAGCAAAAGTAAAAGAACAGATAGTCTTAAAGTAAATAACATTTAATATTTGGTTACATAACCCTTGCTTGCAATAACTGCATTAAACCTGTGTCCTATTGACATCACCTGATTAGATTGAATGCATTTCTCTGTAAACTGGCAGACTGTTTCTGTAGACTTCTGAATTCATTCTGCTGCTACCATCATGAGTTATATCATCAATAAATATGAATGAGCCTGTTCCAAAAGCAGCCGTGCAAGCCCAAGCTAAGACACTTCCTCCACCATGCTTCACAGATAAGCTTGTATGTTTTGGATCATAAGCAGATTCTTTCTTCTCCCCAAACTTTGACCATTTCCTCATTTTGGTAGACATTAATCTTGGTATCATCAGCCCATAAAATTTTCTTCCAGAACTTTTGTTGCTCATCTCTGTACTTTCTTGCAAATTTCAATCTGGCCTTCTGATGCTTACTACTGATGAGTAGTTTGCATCTTGTGGTATGACCTCTACACTTCTGTCCTCGAAGTAATGTTGAAAAATCTGAATAAATGACCACATACTTAACTTTTGGGGATAGGCTTCTCGGGGTTGAGACGAGAACTTTTCAGTACTCCATATTAAAACACACACACACAGGGACGCAGTAGAAACACGCACATGTGTAAACCTGTCTGCGTTTTCATATATAATCCATATGTCCATACGCATGATTATATTTGCTCTAAACGTTATTTTGTTGATACACATGTTTGAGTAGGCGCCCAGTTTTATATTTCGAAATTACACACACGTTGCGCTTTTAATAGGTGCTGTTTGAACATGTAAATTCGCTTCACACGTGATTGAAAATTATGAAAAATATACGAATTATGAAAGATAGCATATCAACGTGTCTTTCTATAGGATTCGTGTGTGGAATTTGGATTTTAAATGGTTTAAAGTTTTAAAGCTGAAAATATAAGAAATCGAGATGCATTTTCGTCATTTGATGCTTTTTTATTTACGAAAATGAAAAAGGGATGCAGACAAAGCAAAAAAGATATTTCGTTTCGCATATGATTATCTATCTATCTATCTATCTATCTATCTATCTATCTATCTCGGTCTGTTTCTTTATTTTGATCTATCTATCTATTCTGAAAGGTAAGCATTTCAACGAGTCTTTCTATAGGATTCATGTGTGGAATTTGGATTTTAAATGGTTTTAAATTTAAAAGCTGAAAATATAAGAAATCGAGATGAATTTTCGTCATTTGATGCTTTTTTATTTACGAAAATGAAAAAGCGATGCAGACAAAGCAAAAGAGATATTTCGTTTCGCATATGATTATCTATCTATCGAGCTAGCTAGCTATTCTGAAAGGTAGTATTTCCTCGCGTCTTTCTATAGGATTCGTGTCTAGATTTGCGATTTTAAATGGTTTGACATTTTAAAGGTGAAAATATGAGAAAATGATATACATTTTCGTCATTTGATGCTCTTTTATTTATGGAAATGAAAAAGCGATATAAAAAGAGAAAGAATAAAAGATATGAGCCTTTTTTTGGAAATGATGCCGTAGCTGAGAGTACTGTACGAAAGTTGTTCTCTAAGGTTCAAAAGTGGAAATTATATTCTGAAAGAACGAAAATGTTTCGGCAGGTCATCAATTGTTGATGACAGCCAACACGAAAGGCTGTTTAAAATTCACCCAAGTCACAAGAATACCGAAAAGATAATCCGCATATTTCATATGCGGCTTTAAGACATTTTAAAAATCAAAACAAACTTGGACACGTAAATCGCTACGATGCTTGCGTGCTTTTCGAATTAACGAAATAAATTTAACAGTCATACTCAAATGCAACAAAACAACCTATCTTTGAAAAAAATGACCACAGGCTATGACAAATGTTTTTTTAATAAAATTTTGAAGCGAAATAGATATATGTGTAAGTTTACCGAACTTTAAAAGGTGAAAATATAAGAAATCGAGATGACTTTTCGTCATTTGATGCTCTTTTATTTACGAAAATGAAAAAGCGATGCAGATAAAGCAAAAAAGATATTTCGTTTCGCATATGATTATCTATCTATCTAGCTAGCTAGCTAGCTAGCTAGCTATTCTGAAATCATTAGGATGGGCTCACAATTTTTCTTATAAATTATATTTACACTCTATGACCATTAAGTAAAGCAGCATAGGTTGGAATCGAAGAATACTTGATCGTTGTAATAAAAATCAACAAAAATAAGTTGAAAGGAAAAACTAGTAAAAATTAATGACTATGGTTAATGTAAGAACTGGAAGTAATGGATAGCGGCTCGGATTGAGGAATCAGAGAGCCGAGTTCGAATTCCAGTCGAATGCAGTGCATTCACTTATGTGCTAATACCCTCAGAAAATGTATGAATCCTATTCTTCTCCCACTAGCTATGGGTAAATAGCAGGATAGACCGGTTGCCTTGGATGGCAACTGGTCTACCGCAGAAAGAAATGGCAACCTATTGGGGGAAAAAAATTTGCCTCGTCAGTCATGTATCGAAAGATCTATGATCGCCTAAGCGTTTATCACGCATGGCACATAAGTGACTGACTAATGTAAGAAATTTGGACAGTATAAAATGTTTAATCAACAGTTTGCTTTATTTAATATAATTAACAGTAAAAATATATGTGCTCATCTACCGGAGCAAAATTGATTTACATATGGAAGAAAATTAAATTTGTTTATTTAGTTTGCTTATTCTGGCACAAGGCCATATGTTGCTGGTAATGTTTGATATTCTGAATCTGTCGTCTATCAAAGTACTAATGAAATGCGAGTTTTCTTCGTTTAACTAAACAGCTGTCAACTCGCGCTTTCATTGGGATTTGACCGTAAGTAAGGAGATTAGATTTAAGCAAATAGATTGTCATGGTTTTCCATATTTTAAAATAGGTTTTATGATAATGACGAAATCAGAGGTCAGTAGTGAAGTGTTGCTAAGAAATATTATGCCACGAAATGATGTTTTATTTTTAGCGAATAAAATGACTGTCTGAGTCTTTTGTCATATTCTCACATTGATGGGTTTGGCTTCGCAACAGAAAGCCGACCAAAAAAAAAAAACAAACAAAAATTTAAACGAATTTCCAACCACAACTATTTACTTAATTAATTCTTCATGTTTAGATTCAAAAACAGAAAGCAATCAATCTTGCCATATTGACTTCGCTTTACATTCTATGTGATGTGTGCGGACGCTTTGTTCCCTCAAGGGCAGGTTTGGTAAAACACCTAAAGTCGTATGGGCATTGAAGGAATCAAGCAGCTTGCAAGGGAGTTTTCCCGCCACGTCCTACACGTGGCCTTGTATCTAAGTCAACTGGTGGTTTCACCAGACATACCAAAATACACAAAGATGTATTTTAGCCGTTGACCTCGAAAAGATAGACATTTCAATTGTCACAATCATGCAAGACTGTGTCTGGGTTGAAGAGTCATATACGGGCACATTGTTATATATATATATATATATATATATATATATATATATATATATATATATATATATATGTATATATATACATATATATATATACATATAGATACATATATATATATATATATATATATATATATATATATATATATATATATATATATTTACACATATATATATATACATATATATACATATATACACACATATATATATATGTATATTTACACATATATATATATATATACACATATATATGTATATTTACATATATATATATATATATATATATATATATATATATATATATATATATATATATATATATATATATATATACATATATATACATATATATACACATATATATACATATTTATACACATATATATATATATATATATATATACACATATATATATATATATATATATACATGTATACATATCTATATATATATATATATATATATATATATATATATATATATATATATATATATATAAATTTAAATAAACATAATTTTATAGTCTATCTATAATAATAATAATAAATAATGTACATAATTTTATGTTAATTTTTTTTTAAAATATCCGGACCTAGGTTGCCTTTCGGCCAACGCATCATCAGGGACCAATTGTTGGCAACTTTTAACTCATTTGTATTGATAGGAGATAGTACTTGGCACGTTTAAAATTACGAAATACGTAAAATTAAGAAAAAAAAAAATTTTTCGATTAAAATATGTAAATAAAAAAAAAATTCTGATCCAGTGGAGCATAAAAAGGAAAAAATAAAGCTGACGTATCACGGAATAAATTCAAAGATCTTTATTTACATATTAATATATTTTAATTAATATATATTTAATATATATTAATATATTTTTTTTATACGTTGTTTTTATAGATACAAATATTTAAGTAAATGCCCTGTTTATAATAAACAGTATTAACAACATTTAAAAACATTATTTTAGGCCATATGACAGTTCCGTGTAGGATACAGCGTTGAACACATTTTCTATGGTATTTGTCGGACATTCAGGCCAGTAAATGTTGTTAATACTGTTTATTATAAACAGAGCATTTACTTAAATATTTATATCTATAAAAACAACGCATAAACAAAAAAATATCTTAAAATAATTGATGTACTTAGACCGTTTCATATACACACACACACACACACACACAAACGCAGGCACGCAAGCACGCAGGCACACACACACACATACATACATACATACATACATACATATATATATATATATATATATATATATATATATATATATATATTATTTTAGGATATTAAAGCAAAAACATGTTAAAATCGCTACACAATGGCAATTACGTTTGGACACTGCAAATGTGTCCCCTTGGTGATGGTAAACTCCATTGCCCGAGGAGACACATTTGTAATGTTGAAACAAAACTACCTTTGTGTAACGATTTTTAGCATGCGTTTGTATTAATATCCTAAAATAAATAATATTTAACTCTACTCTGTATTGAGCCCTCTTTTAAATTAAATGTTACGTACAGTGGAATTATACGCCATTTGTTCTCATTTTACCTGGATATATATATATATATATATATATATATATATATATATATATATATATATATGAAAAATTAAATAAAGGAAAAGGACAATATTTGCTAGAGTGCTGTGATGACAAATACACTAAGTGGCGGCGTGTAAATATTAAGCTTATCTCCCAGACCATTGCTAATGTAGCGAGATCGATACAGTAACAGTAGATATTTCCACGAAACGAGTTTTATACACCTCTTATTATGGCGCCTGTAGGAGTGCAATGGTCAGCAAGTTAACCATAGGTTAGATGATGGGGACGGTGATTTTTAGAGGAATTTTTCTGAGT